CAAAAAGGGAAAAGTACATGCTTTTAGAGAAATAAAGGGAGGAAACATAGTTCCTCAAGAAAAGCAATTTCTTTCCCTGGGCTAAAAATTCTACAGAATTCTCAGATGGGGGTCAATCTTACATTCATTCACTTATTTGTTGACCTATTCATTCAACACATATTTTTAAATTCCTATAAGGAATTTTGGGAATGCAGTATAAGGAACTTGGAGAGACATGTGATGTGGTTAGGGAGCGTCTAGGAAGCAGGGAGCAATGAATGACACAACTAGCTACTATGAAGGGTATTTGTCACCAATTACAAAAGTAGGGTGTCCTTATTAAAACATAAAAATGGGCACATTGACTCATTTAGTTTTGAGTATACTCACAAAAGACCATGTCATTTCATTTTTTCATTTCTCTTAGATTATTCATCAAATATTTTAAGAGTAGAAGTAAGTACTCCAAAATACTAGTATTCTCAGATTCAACCCTATAAAGGCCTTAGAAGAGAACCTTAAACTACATTTAGTAAACATGCAGAACACATATACTCATAAGCAATAAACCTGCACTCATTAAGATTTAACGATATAAGCTACTTTCATGAAAGAATAAAGCACATCAAAAAGAGTAATCTAATAAGAAGTCCTTACAGGCTTATAACAGTGGGATGATGATCTCAAGGGGAAATTTCTTGCCACCTGTAGGTATCTTACTACTGGCGCCTGTGCCCTCCTTCCGATGTGCGTGGTGAATTCTCGGGAACGCCCTTCTCCTTAGTGGTCTTTGTGTAAAATTTCTCCTCCCCTTCAGTGCCAGGAGTGAGTGGTAGTTAAAGAAAGCGAGAATAAAGGGCAAAGAGAGAGAGAGGGAAGTGGAAGGAGGGAGCCCCACGTGGAGACCAGGCCTCAAACCTCACCATGTGCCCTCCCTGTCTGCGGTCGTAAGCACCCACGCAGCTGTGCGCCGAGAGCAGGGAAGCCAGCTCCAAGTCACACTTACCAGCAGTCCCTTTGCTTGGGGTCTGGGCTGAGAGCCCAGGGAGGCCCAGGCTTTATACGTGTTTCTCCAGAGCAAACATAGTATCTCACAGACCAACAAGTTAGGGGTGTGGGAGGGAGAAGTGCTGAGAGTTCACACACGATAAAGATAAGACCTAGCTTACAGGATGCACAATCTCTGATTTGACCCTAAGACACCCACTCAACAGCTTTGGACAACCCCAGAGCTTTGCAAGGAGACATGCACCAGCAGTTCCTCTGCAGGATCTGAGGTGAGGATTTAGTACCCAGGAGGTTCTGTGATGATTTCTTAGTCACTGTACAAATTGCAGGAGGGTTTCCATTGCAGAGTGAACTTCTCGTTGTCACAGATTTCAGTACAGCTATGTTTATTCATGTTGCTGCATTCACGGGCAGAAGGATGACCAGAACTGCTCTAGTTCAATGTCTTAGGTTGACATTTTCTCAATTTGTAGACTCATCTGAAAGTGGCAACTGGGGATGCTATGGAAACATCCGAACCCTCGACACGCCCGGGGCATCTTGTGGGATTGGAAGACGCCGAGGCCTGAACTACTGTGGTAGCTAGAACCTCATTGTCCACCTGGCCCCCCTCCCCTCTTCCTTCCTCTCAGAAAGTGATTCCTTCAGGCAAGGGAGGCTCCAACAGGACTCTGCCCCTGCCCTGGTGCCCCACACCGATGCCCCCAGGCATTCCCTACAGGTTTTGATCCTCTCAACAGACCCTTTCGGTCCCCACTGTTTCCCACAGTCCCACCCTACGGAGTGGTGGAAAGAGCACTGGACATAGAGTCCAAAGACATTGTTGAGTGCTGGCTCTGAAGTCCCTTAGCTCCCCTGAGCCTCTGCTGAAATGGGGATAATAGTACCTACGTTACAGTGTTGTTGCGAACTCTGGTCCGTCATGTGCCCGAGGGTGCTTTTGAAACCACAGAAGGGCTGGGAAGGTTAGGTGGGCTGCCGGGGGAAGTGGGCTTGGTTTTCACTTTGCCCAGCACTCTGGTATTTCCTAAAGCGTTAAGCCCGCATGATTGCTGGGAGTCACTGTAGGGTGGAAAGGTGGGCTAGCGTGAGCACGCCTGTCAGGAAAGCTCTCCAAGGAAGGGTGTGGGAGAATTCCTCCCTCACATCATGTGCTTCTTGTAGCTGATGGGCGTGCATTTAACCGGGCAAGTCTGTTTGGATGCTTAGGATGGGGCCAGTGGGGCCTGTGCCCATGCAATTCTCTGGGAGCTGCCCCAGCTGAGGCGCTGGTGGCCACAAAGGACACTGCCTCAGGGGATGCCAACTCAGGCTCAAAGGAGAACTTAATCTCAGTTCCAGGAATGGCCACCAGAGGTCTCAGACCCGAACACGGGCTTCTCAGTCCTCAGCTGCTGCCAGGAGGCTTGGCGTGCATTTTCTCTCTCCTTTTGAGCTCCCGTTTCGGCGTAAGTCACACCAAGCCACACCTTCCTTCTGTGTTTGCTGTAGGAGTCCGTGCTTCTGAGAGGCTGGCTGAGATCGATATGCCGTACCTCCTGAGATATCAACCCATGATGCGCACCGTCGGCCAAAAGTACTGTGTGGATCCTGCAGTGATCGCTGGTGTCGTGTCCAGGGGGTATCCTGGCGGCAACCTTCTGGTCCAGGCTGGCAATGTGGATGATGGAGTCAGGGTGGTGCAGGTAACCCTCCAGGTGGCCACTGTGCTACATGGCACAGCTCCAAAAGGGCACCTTGGGATTTGCTGTGCAGATGGTACTCCTGGGGCAGCCCCGCAGGCTCTCTGCCTGAGAGGGACGAGCAGCACCATTTCGGCTTCATTTTGAGCCACAATTCCTTTTCCAAGTAAGTTAGCTATGTCCAGGGTGTCATCATTGGTACCCTATTCTGGGTTTCTGGTGAGGCTCTGCAAGAGAAATACATAGATCGAGTCCTTGCTCTGCTATTTCGTAACCACATGACCTTGGATAAAGCATTTAATCTCCCTGGGCCGCAGTTTCCTCACCTAGAAAATGCCATCCTCAGAATTGTTATGAAGATTCAATGAAATAATGTGAAAAAGTAGATTCTCAGCAAATACAAATTCCTTTATCCCTGTCTTTCCACACAGTTCTTAGTTCTGAAGGTCACATGCTTTTTAGAACAACTTTTTACTTATTGATTTTTTTTTAGAGAGAGAGAGAGAAAGGGAGAGAGCGAGAAACATTGATTTGCTGTTCCACTTATTTATGCAGTCATTGGTTGATGCTTGTATGTGTCCTGACCGGGGATCAAACCGGCAACCTTGACGTATCGGTACAACACTCTCACCAACTGAGCGACCCGGCCAGGGCCTCAAGTTTTATTTTTGCAGGAATCTGCCTGATAGACTTCAGGGCGCTGGTCATAATTAACCTGCTGTGGAATTAACTGTGGGGGAGAATGGGTGACGGCAGGGGAGATGATGGGACCAGAGTCTTTTCTATTACATGTCACATTGTGATAGTTGTTGAGAAACCTGTCAGTAGTGCAGTCATTGCTTAAACTTTTAGGAAAAAGTATTCTTCAATGAACTTTAGATTGGCTTCCCATTAGTACTTTGTATGACACCATACAATTTAAAAGTATCCAATAATCTGATGAATTTGGGCCTATGAGAAAGTGAGTTTATGAGAAGGTTGTCATTGCTGTAAAGTCACAGGGCAGCCGGAAAATGCAGCCTGGGACCAAGGACAGCCTGGGTGGTTGAGGGCCCCATCGTCCCAGCCACCTGCTCTGCCTCCTTTGTAAAACCTTGTGCTTTCTTGGGAAAAGGATGAGTCCATCTCCTTTAAAGATGAAGAAAGAATTTCCCTGAGTCAGATACTTCTTCTAAATACGGTGAAACACATATGGAATGGTAACCAGGGCTGTGGGACAAAAGTTAGTGGTACCTTTAGACCTTCGGATTGTCTGGAAGGATAATTACAAGTCCGGATAGGAAACCCTTTCTGGGCTGTTGGAGGGTTTGTGGTTGCGGTGTTGAAGGAGGGCAGCAGGCAGGAACCACCCCTCCCTGTCAGCGTGGCTTCCAGCCTGCCTCTCACCAAGGCAGCGGGCGCCTGTCTGCTCCTTCCTTCCTTTGTCCGAATCTTGTAGCTTTACTGCTTGTCCCCAGGGAGACGGAAAGTGGCCTTTGTTCTTCCGCAGGAGGAGGAGAGAAAGGAAGGGACATGAGAAAGCACTGACAGTAGGAAGCCACATCACCCGCCTACCCGGCTCACCTGGCTTCTCCTCTGCCCGCCCCCTCTAGGACACTGGCCACTATGCTCCTACTACCTGGATCAGCGAGTCGCAGCTGTCCCAGATGACTGAAGTCCTGACTGTTAGAATCAAGGAAATCCAGAGGAGGTTCCCGACCTGGAGCCCAGACCAGTGCCTGAGAGGTAGGGGGAGCCCAGGGTCGGCCCTTTATGGCAGGGAACAATAGGGACCAATGTAACACAGGTGCCAGATTCCCCCTGACCTCACTGCTTCCTGGTGAGCACGAGGAAGGGAATCTAAGTTGGCTGCTGAGCACCCTGAAGCACTGAGGGCTGTGGGGTCAGCATTAACCCGTCTCGCCCTTGCAGGGGGGCTCTGTGCCTACGTCGGAGGGCCCAGCTATGTCAGAAGCAGCCAGGACCTGGGCTGTGACTTCTGCAATGATGTCCTTGCACGAGCCAAATACTTCAAGAGACACGGCTTCTAACACTTCAGATCAAACCCAAGGTCATCTCATGCAGGAGGCCTCATCTGTTCCACAGATAAAACGAGCCAATGCACTTATAACTGAGAATCTGAGTTTGACCTGAAGGTTGTCAAAATAACATGACATACATTAAAGAAAGAGCGATTCTCTGCATCTTGTGGTCTGATGTGTGTATGTGTAAGTTAAGGGTTGTGTCTCTTTAAAGGTATTTCCATGGAGGTAAGCTGGAATTCTTGGATTTCAGTGAAATGAATCCTACACCTCATTGACTAGCATGGCCAGATTTAGCAAATGAAAACACAGACAGCTGCCCTGGCTGGTGGCTCAGTTGGTTGGAGCGTCATTGCTTGCACCAAAAGGTTGTGGGTTCGATTCCCAATCAGGGCACATAGCTAAGTTGTTGATTCAGTCCCCAGTCGGGGAGTGTACAGGAGGCAACTGATCAATGATTCTCTCTCTAAAACTCAATAAAAACATATCCTCGAGTGAGGATTAAAAAGACCACACAGATAGCTCAGTTACATTTGAATTCGAGATAAATAATGACCATGGTTTTTAAAATTCTCATGGAAGGGCATGTTTTCTCTTAATTGATGTCAGAGAAAGCAGAATGGAGAGAGAGAGAGAGAGAGAGAGAGAGAGAGAGAGAGAGAGAGAGGGAGAGAGAAACATCGATGTGAGAGAAATATCAATCAGTTGCCTCTGGTATGATCAAATCTGCAGTCTTTTGGTGTACAGGGCTTTGTCCAACCAACTGAGCGAGGGCAAAAATGAACAATTCTTTAAGGTATAAGTCCCATACAATATTTGGAACACATTTGGGCATATGATATTTTACCTGGCAACTCTGTCATTGATTTCTGATAAAAATAATAGTTTCAAATTTAATTGAAAAATTTGATGAGGTAAATTTGATGGTGGCCAGCCCCATCTGCTGGGTAGAGTAGTTTCAGGAGAGGCACTTGGTAACTTTGCAGCATTAGTTTAATCCTACGTCAGTCTCTCTGTCATCTAAGTTCACCTTCTTTCCTTTCCTGGACCACAGAACCTTCAACCCCCAACTTCCCCCAACTCAGTGGAACGATTCCCTTGCTTGGGGCACTCACAGTGGTTCACAGTTGAAGCTGCCTGAGGGACACTGACCATGTCTCTGTTGGTAAATTACTTAATTCTGGGGGGTGCATTCTATAAAAGTAATTAATGTCCCATTCTATCAACTGTACGGTATCACTGCAGAGTGTCCTTCTGGAACAATAATCCTTTTAAGGAGAAATTTTTTTAAGCAACCAGTCTGTGTTCAGCACTATATCAGAGTCTCTGCCCTCAGGAATGGCTGAGTCATAAAGTTTAGTTGCGGACAACAGCCAACTACACGTGTGCACAGGGTACAGACTCAGGGTGTGAACCAAGAGACAGTGTGAGGAGGTCACCTTCTGTGTCAGGTGCCCAGGGAACCTGATTATGACCACTGATGCCCTTGACCTTCTCCAGGGCCACTTCCTTCTTGGTCTCCCCACCCTCTGCCTTCCAAGACCCTCTCAAGGCTGAATCCAGCGGCAGGGTTCCCACCGAGGAGAAATGACCGAGAAGACCTCATGAGCACGTTTCACTGGCACAAGGGAAAGAGACTGAGCACTGGTTAGGAGCCCCCGGTGGGAACCCTTGGGTGAATAAAGTCCTGAAATCACACCCCTGGTGCAGGCTCACGCAGCTCCCACTGGGAACACGTCCACCACCAAGTGGGGGTCACTTGTGTCTGTGGTGACAGTCATCCTGAGAAAACACTCAGTCCAGGAAGGCCAACAAGGAGCGCTGGGACGTCACAGTGGCAGCTCTGACGGAGGCATAAGTGAGTTAGGGTATTAATTAAACAGCTATTAACCAATCCTTGCCAAGCACCTCCTACCTGCCAACCGCAAAGGCACCTCCTTGCTCACAACGGGATCTGGATATAGTAACACGTGGGCACAATAAGCTAATTTGAGAGGAGAGAAATGAAAATTGGCCTGGGTACTGAGGCCTGAGTTCCCAGAAGAGGTTGATTTGGTGCTGAGTTGTCACACCAGCCCGGATGCACGATTCCATGGAACAGACAAAAGAGCTCCCAACAAAAGCTATTAAAACACTTGCTGAGTCCCAGAGCTGGTGAGGGATCAACCTGAGTCCAAACCCAGTGCCACATGCACATAATTTGATGATGATGATGATGATGATGATGATGATGATGAGTGTGTGTGAATGCACACGCATGTGTGTGGTGGGGGTTGGGGTGACCAACAGTGCTGGTTTGCCTGGAGTTGATGGGTTTTCTGCAACATGGAACTTTCAAGGCTAAAATCAGGAAAGTTAAAGGGGAACTTTCTGAACGAGTCCAGGTGAGTTGGCCACCTGAGCTGGGCATCATCCCTTCCAGGAGGTAATTGAAAACCTGTGAGGACAGTTTTCTTCTCTCCCTCCCACCTCACTCTCTTTCTTTTGTTGCCACAACACTGGGGGTGAGTTGGACATCACTGATATTTTGTGGTGGGGCGAAGGATGCTAAACATTTTGCAGTTTGCTCTGGGAAGGATGGCCCACCGAGTGAAGCACATATGCCTGAAGGGATACACTATATATACATTTTAATGTGCTAATTAATGTAATATACATGTTATAAACCTCCTCCCGAGTTAGCCTTTGTCAGCTTTACAACCCGGAAATGTGTTTTCCCCCAAAGATCAGGCAGCCATCCCTTAGAAATATAAACCTCTAGGAAGGAAGTGCCCATGTCCCTGTCGCTGTGGCATCTGCTTCTCATAGAAATAATAATTTCTTTGTTAATCCTCACTGGAGGGTTTGTTTTCCATTAATTTTTAGACAGAATGGAAGGGAGAGGGAGAGACAGAGAGAAACATCAATGTGAGAGAGACACATTGATTGGTTGCCTCCTACACGTGCCCTGACTGGGGCCGGGATGGAGCCTGCGACCCAGGTACATGCCCTTGACTGGAATCAAACCCAGGTCCCTTCAGTCTGAGGGCCAATGCTCTATCCATTGAGCTCTATCTGGCTGGGGCTTTTCCTTAGATTTTAAAAATTAAGTTAATTTAAATGTATTTAGTCTCTGCTAATAGTTCTGTTTTTGATGAAACCTACTCTTTATTTTCCTTTTGAAGTGCTTCTGCTTGCTTGCTTTCTCCCTTCCTTCCTTCCTTCCTTCCTTCCTTCCTTCCTTCCTTCCTTCCTTCCTCTCTTCCTTCCTTCCTTCCTTCCTTCCTTCCTTTCTTTCTTTCCTAGAGGCCTGGTGCAGGAATTCATGCACGGGTGGAGTCCCTCAGGGTGGCCTTCAGGGATCTTGAAACCCACAGTCCAATGATGCCTGCTGCTCCCGCTTATCCTGGCCTTGCTGTGCCTGCTGAGGGCTCCCACCACTGCAATGGTGCTCACCATTGTGAGCCCTGCGTCTGGTGCCCATCCCAAGGGGGGTGGCTGGGACGCGATTGGCCCTCCGGGCAGGTGGTGGGATGCCCTTGCCAGTAGGGGATCCGGATCCATCCCACTGATGTTCGTGCAGGTTGTAGGGAGCCCCTGGTGCCTGGTGGCTGCTTTTATATCATTTCTTCCTTGTGGAGTGTCTAAAGAGGGGAAGCAGCCACAGTGCTGAGGCCGACTTCCAGGAGGCCAGCAGCGCTGTCAGGATCGTGCTGGCAGTGCCGGTCCGTTGGTGCCTGGCCTGTTCTCCGGAGATTGGACCTGCAGGACTACTGAGGGAGTGAGTGGCTGCTGCCGGGCTGGTGGGCTGGGCTGCAGGGATGGGTCAGTCAGCTGAGCGGCACTCCCATTGTGGGAGCGCACACATCACCAGGGAGCAGCTTCCGCGTTAAGCGTCTGCCCCCTGGTGGTCAGTACGCATCATAGTGACCTGTCAACTTGTTGTTCAGTGGCTTAGGCTTTTATATATATAGATGTATTTATTTGATCCTCACCCAAGAATATATTTATTGATTTGAGAGCAAGAGAGGAAAGGAGAGAGAGAGAAACATTGATTGGTTGCCTCCCAAGGATCGAACTCAAAACCTAGGTATGTTCCCTGACTGGGAACTAAACCTGAAACCTTTTGTTGTATGGATGGCTCTCCAGCCGAATGAGCCACCCAGCCAGGGCAGTGCTTGCTCTTTAAACGTATAGTAATTTTAATCTGTGAACCGAAGCATCCATCTTATATAAAAACTGCTGTTTGAAATTTTAAGCCTGCTATTTTGGCTTCTGTAAACGCTTGCTTGGTTAAATAATAAGGAAAATAAGACTACTCCCATTCCAGAGAGGCCATAAACTGTGCCCCAGACAGAGTTGTCAGTGCTGGCACCAGGCCAGGCCTTGAGATATGGTCGCATGGCCCCTTCCCAGCACGAAGGCCTTCTTCCTCAGAAGGCCCAAAGTCTCATTCCAAATTTGGGAGACAAAGGACTGGAAAAAGTATAAATAGAGAAGGTTTCCTCCATGTTGGGGGGCTCAGAATTTGAAAGACACATTTTTCTCTGGGCCTGTGCAGAATTAAATAATAAAATGTAACCCCCTTTCTCTAAGCGTGGCTTGGTTTTTTCTCTGGTCTTCTGCAACAAACCCATTTGCCACTGGGGTGTTGTTTTGCAGGCAGCTATGAAAGCACATACCTACCGTGTCAGCCCAAATGGGTGCTGAAGCCGAGCCATATAGGGGTGTCCTGAGGCAAGAGATTCCTGGGCGTCAGATAATCATTTGTTCTAGGAGGGAGAGAGTAAGGGAGGTTAGTCAGTTGCCACCTGCTTCTCTTTCTCCAAAGCACAGGGTTTCTGTGCTGGCTTGATTGGACACCTGGGGAGCCCTGGACCAGGACAGGTGTAGGCAAGCACTGTTTATTCCCAGGTAGTGAAGCATGATGGAGAAGCAAGATCAACTCCAATAGTTCCCTCCTATTTTACCCCCTTAAATGGGTTCTGGTACCCCATACCAAAAACAATTCTTCGAACACCAGCTGGGTATCCTACAATTCAACCTAATTTTGAAACTGTCTACCTGGAGATAGCGCCAGAACCCACAGGTTAAGGGCTCGGTCCTGCAAAACTGTCCCCCACTTCAGAAGTCAGTCGCGAGCCCAGATTGTTACCTGTCGTTCTGCCTGACT